TCCGTTCTATTTCCAGGCCACCCTTGACCGCACCGTCAATTATGTCCCAGTCTTCACCTCCCCACGAGACTTTGTTGTCGAAACGTGTGGAAAATCCTCCAAATTTCTCCCAATCTTCTTTGTACACTGCTACCGTTCCATAGCTATAGTGGAACCAGTGGCCGTTGGGAATGGCACTGCTTCCGCCACAGCTTAGACGAACTATTTGAGGAGCGTACAGTGTTTTTCCTTTGATGCAGTGTTGAAAGGTCAATTAAAAAAAAAAGAAAATGAATGGCCAAATCTCTGGACATACATACATTCTTGTATGCACGTATGCACGTATGTTTACTTACTGCATTCATGTTTGGCCAACCCACGTACTACAAGTGGGCCACAGGTCATTCGTTGTTACAGCCCTTTTAGTAGAATTATTGATGTTTGGACAATTTTCGAACGTTTTGACTTACCAACCCAAGTCCGTTTTTGTTTTCATTAGTCATAATTACATCTGGGATTTGTCGAAAAGGTTCTAACTAAAAGACTGTCGACTTCCTTTCAAAGCGTTCAGTTGGTTGCTGGAACAGCTAGCGTAATAATGGTTTGAATCTTGTATGTCTCATTTTCGTTCGTCGCCTTTCACTTTGCTCCTTAACTAGTTGAACTCTGAAACAGTCTTATAATATAACTGAGATCAATAGGCTATATTGTGCAGTTATGGAAATTCTTATTTTTACATTTGCGTAGTTTGGACATTTGGAACCAACAATTACAAGTATTTCTCTATCGTCCAAACGAGAGGTAACAGGATCGATGCTCGGGCTCCCCACCAATCTTAATTGAAATCCCTCTATCGTCCAAACGAAGAGGTACCGAGAATCTGTTTACAGGTGTTTTATAGCACGGACCTCTGTCTTGCACTTTCTCCGCCTAACTTCTACTACTTCTACTTCTACTTCTGATGCTATTACTCGAGTAATTGACCAAGAAATGCCGCTATGCGTGAGCCACATCGGACGAACTGACCTTAGACGATTACACATCTTTTTTAGAATACTAACTCAAACACTTGAACGCGACTTTCAAAAGCGAACTACAAAGTTCTAGAAACAACCAATATAGAAACTAAAGTTTAGAGAACAAGAAACCTAAACAGGATCTTTGTGGGAGATTCAGACCAAGGCCAGTAGACAAACCCAAACATGCCCATCGGTGGGGTATAATTCGGAGCTCGAGTATTCTCGACAAACTAAGATATATAAAAAACGTAAACTCATAAAACTCACTGAGTGGGCAGTTGGGTCCTACAATCACAAAACTAACGTGGTAACTACTAAATGATAAACAATTGCTGATCACGAACAAAAGTTCTAAATTCGAAAACTTCTATAAAGATGATTGAACTTCTTAACACAAGGATGGAAGTGGATAATGAATATACTTTCCAACGTGGGAAAAACCTTTTTCTATGATCGACATTGTAAAAAGTCCGTTTGTGACATAACGTTCTCGACATTAACTAAGTAGAAAGTTACAACAGAGGTTTTGCATGAAAATCAAATCATTTCCACTTCGCACAACATGTCACACCTCATAGCCTCACAGCTTGGCTAGTGATAGTGCAACAACTCCTTTCAACTTGCAATGTGACATCTTTATGCGACAAGTTGCAAGGAAAATGTTGCTCGTATTACTTGAGCCCTTGACGAATCTTACGGCCAATACACAACAATCGCTTTCACGTACCAAAGTCTTAAAAACTCCATCGGCTGACAAATAGCTTTTCACTTGACTTTGAAAGTGGCCCATGCTTTCCCTAGAACATTTCAGAACCACCCTCACCCAGACTATGACAATGGACAAGCTCCTAACACTTCAGGGGTCAAACCATTTACTATATGTTACAAGTATAAGTGGACAGGTCGACAAAAAGCAAACAACAATTCTAAGGTTTCTTAAGATGTATAAGTAATATCTCAAATCCTGTTTTCTTTGACGTGCGAAGCTAAGCCCTTTCTTTTGTTAATTTCCTTCCTCGGATTTCATCGGCTATACCAACTTCCTCCCCACCCCCACCTCAGCTGACTTCCAATGTCAAGATGCATGTCTATGGTGACAATAATGGCGTCAGGGTTTTTTACTGACTCTATCGCTTTGCTAAAGGAAACTGTACGAGAATAGTTTCCAGGCTGTGCGATAAAATGGTAGTTCTTCAGAGTGCTCCTCTTGAAAGCCTGTTCTAGATCAATATCGGGACTATCAAAG